GAAAAAGCCGCCGGCTCTTCTGAGAGCGGCGCGGCCGGAGACCGTTGGTTTGCGCGGCAGTGCTTTTTCAATCACCGTTTTGTTTTTTTAAGCCAACTCACCATCCCTGCGCCTGTCAGCGGACAAACTTCCGTCAGCCGTGACCTCTGTAAAATAGTTTGCCCTGGCCGCAGCCGCTCTGTCGGAGCGACCCGGGACGGACCCCTGCGCGGTGGGAGTGAGTGGGCCGAGGAGCGGCGCCCGGCCGCCGGCGTCGCAGACAGCGCGTCTGGAGAAGAGCCGCCCCGGGGCCCGGGAGTCGTCCGCAGACCGCAGCCTGGCTTCTCCCCGTGGCGATGCTGCCGGGTGGCACCCCACGGGAGTCTGAAGCTGTTCTTCCGAAGCCCTGGACTCGTTAAACTCCGAGGTATTTTCTAGCTGCTTTTGAGAAATGGAGATGGGATGTGACATTTCTCCGTCAGGGAAGACCTTCAATTCGGGTGGAATGAATTAAGGTTGTCTTTTAGTGTTGTGTTAAAATAGCACCTTCGATCTTGGAAGTCAGAAGCCGAGTGTTTTATGACTGAGAATGTTCACATTCATTTTATATTCTTATGCTGGTACTGTGTGTTTAAAATTGTCATGTGACTAAATGCAGAAAAGATGTTGGATTTCCAGTGTGTATGGCTCAGAGTTTTGACTAAGTAAGTGCAGTTTTAGGTCCAAACACTTTGGAAATTCCATTTTTTTCCTTTCATTTTTGTTGATAACGAATTAATACATTAATAAATCTGAATTGTACAGTAGCTCAATGAAATTTAAAAATGTATTACTTGTGTAGCCACTACATAAATTGTAGCTGTAGAACATTTCCATCATCCCAGTTTCCCTTTACTTCTTCCAAACCAGTTATCTGACTTTTCATCAGCTACCGGTTTTGTCTCTTTCGAGCTTCATACTAATGCACTCATACAGTATGCTCAGCATATTGCTTGGGATCCAACTGTGTGGTATCAGTAATTCTTTTTTATTGCTGCATAATATTTCATTGTATGGTACATGACTAACCTGTTGATCAATAGCTGTGTTTCCAATTTTTGTATATTGTGTATTTTGGATATCTAATGCTGTGAACATTCTTCTAAATGTCTTTATATATTTGTCAGCTGTAGAATGACTCATAATATAGACAGAAAATTATATTTTTTGAGGGTTCATTCGCTCTTTCTTTTTTGTTGGCGGGGTACACTCACCAGAGAGAGGGAGGCAGTGGGGCGTGGTCACACCACATCCCTTTTCTATTTCTTCATCCTGTCAGGATTCTGAGAGTGCAATCACACATACCCAGCATTTTTTTTCCGTAAATAATTATTTATATAATTTTATTATTTTTTAATTTGCTATAGGGTATGCATGCTGTAGGCCCAGCACCCAGGATTTTTTTTCAAGCCACATGGGATCCAGCTTCCCTAACCATTAAGCCATGGGGACAGTTCTCTCTCTCTTCTTTATTATGTTTTATTTTTAAAATGACACAGTATATTTTGGTGGGGTATAATGATATTTTCAGCACAAGAATACAGTGCATAATAATTAAATCAGAGTGATTTTTCTTTTTTTCTCAGAGAGGTTTTTGCTATAGGGCGCATGCCCTCGCCGGAAAGACAGAAAGAGACAGGGAGACAGAAAGCGAGAAATCACCCAGGGAGGATGGCCACACCGCAATCCTTTCTCCTCCATTCTCCTCTGGGATCTTGGGAACGCACACACAGCACACAGGCTCACCAGCGTAAGTTTAAACCACCAGGTCTGGGACTCGAACCACGATCAGCTACATGGGAGTCCAGCGACATAGCCATTACATTGACTGCTGGTCTCAGATCAGGGTGATTAATAATGGTCTCAGTCATTTGTCATTACTTTGTGTTGTGAATATTCAAAATCCTTTTTTAGGTACTCTGAATTATATAGTTAATTGTTAACTATTGATATATTCACCCTACTGTGTTTTATAACACTAGAAATTGTTCCTTTTCTTATGTGTAATTATGTTTCCGTTAATGAACATACCATACCCCCCACCCTTCCCAGATGATAGTAGTCATTGTTCCATTCTCTACTTCAGCTATCTCATTTTTTTCTATTTCATATGGAAATGAGTGAGATCATTTCTGTTTCTGTGCTTGGCTTATTTTAATTAACATAACACCTTCTGGGCTCACCCATTTTAACACAGATGACAAGATCTCATTTTTTATAGCTGAATAATATTTCGTTTTGTGTTACAATTTTCTTTATCCATTCATTTGTTGGTTGAGTTTGTTTTTTTTGTTGTTGTTGTTGTTTTTTGAGAAAGATGTTTTTTGCTATTGGGGGAACGTGCACTCGCTGGAGAGACCAACCAAAGGCAAGAAATCACCCCATAGGGGGATGACCACGCCACAATCCCTTCTCCTCCATTCTCCTTTGGGGATTTTTTGCACACATGCCCCCATAAATTTTAAGCTGCTAGGTCCGGAACTCAAACTGTGTTCGGCCATGTGAGAGTCCAGCATGGGATTACTGGATTATGCAACAGATCTATATATACACATTTTTTTTTAGGAACCTACAAACTTTTCCATAATGTCTGCACTAATTTACACTCCCACCAACAATGTAAAAATGTTGACCTTTCTTTACGTCCTCACCAATAGCTATTACTTTTTTTTATCTTTTTGATAATAGGAATTCTCATTGGGATGATGTGATTTTTTTTTAATTTTTTATTTTTTTGGCCAGAGGGTGCATGTACTTCATATGCTCACTAAAGAGACAGGAGGCAGAAAGAGAGAGGAGAGAAAGCATCCCTTAATGGGGCATGGCTTTACAGTAGTCATTCACCTCCATTTCTCTATCATGTTGGGATTTGGGGCATGCATATACACAAGGCTGGGCTGTTTTCTCAAGTGTCTGGGGCTGGGATTCAAACTATGGTTATAAATGTGTGATCCAGCTCCCTAAACCACTAGGCCACAGAGCTGGCCTTAATTGTGGTTTTGATTTGCATATCCCTGATGATGAGTGATGTTGAACATTTTTTTCATATGCTTATTGGCTTTTTTTTAAGAATTTTTTAATTTAACTTTATTTGTTTATTTATTTTAATTTGACCAGAGAGGGACAGAGAGAGAAGGAAAGTGAGAAAGCAAGCTGCCAGGTCCAGGAAGAACCATGGTTTGGTCCCATATGGGAGTCCATGTGGGAGTCCAGCGCCCTTAACCACCATGCCACCTGCCAGCGCCACTTACTGGCTTTTTAAATGTCTTCTTTTGAAAATTGTTTATTCAGGCCATTTGCCCATTTGTTAAATTGGCTTGTTTGGGGGTTCTGCTGCCAAGTTTAAGTTCCTTATGTATTCTGGTTATTAATTTCTTGTCAGATGTACACTTTGCAAATATTTTCTCCCATTCTATGGATTGTCTCTTTACTCTGTTGGTTTTTAATTTGCCGTACAAAAACTTTTTCATTTCATATAATCCTATTTTGTCTATTTTTGCTTGAATTGCCTATGCTTTTGAGGCTCTATTAAAAGACTCTTTGCCCATACCAATGTTCTGAACTGTTGCTCCTGTTTTTTTTCTAGTAGTTTCATAATTTCAGATCTTACATTTAAGTCTATAATCCTTTCCAGTTAATTTTTATAAATGATGAAAGATAAGCTCTACTTTCATTCTTTCACAAATGGATGTCCAATTTTCCCAGCACCATTTATTGAAGAGACCATCTTTTCCCCCATTAAACATTTTTGACAGTATTGTTGAAAATCAGCTGGCTGTATATATGTAGATTTATTTCTGGGTTCTTAAGTTTTGTTGCATTAGGCTATGTGTTGTTGTTTTGCCAGTACCATGATAATTTTGGTTACTGTAAATTTATAATATAATATAAGATTTATAGTATTTCGAAATTCAGTAGTGTGATGCCTCAGATCTATTCTATTGCTCAAGATTGTTTTAGCTATTTAGGATATTTTGTGATTGTATACAAATTTTATGACTGTTTGGAAAAGTACGTTTTAATCAACATAAAGTCCTCTTTAAAAAAAAGTAATAGAATTTGTTATTTTAACATTAGTCATATAATTTAATATTAAAGATTGGTATAAAATATAACTTATGAGTACAAAACTTAAGTGATTCATTACCATATTATTTACCACGTTGGTTATATGTCGTAGACAGCCTTCTGTCAGGTCATTACTTATTTAACTGTCTGTTAAATAAGGCAGTTAGATCTGGTGATGAACTGACTGAGGTATGACAGGTATGAACTACTTTACTCAAGTTACTAACTCAAGTCTGGTTGTTTGGGGAAATAAAACACCAAAAGATATGACTACAAACAGAATGAAGAATCATGGGATTACAAATCGAAGAACTTACCTTGTTAATATGCTATACAAGTACTAGGTATAAATGTAAAATTGAATTTTAGGGCTAGTTACAAAAGTGAGTTTACTTCAGTAGTACAGTAATTTCCACATGTGTACACTTATAATGTGAATCGACAACAAAAATTACTAAACATTTGTGGGAAATCACTAACATGTTAGAGAAGTTCCAGATCAAACAAATACAAGAACTAGGCTCTGAAGCAATGGAGTTAATGTAAGAAGCAGAAGAAAACTTTCAGATATTTATATTCTTTTTTTTCTTTTGGAGAGGTTTTTGCTATAGGGCATGTCTGCTCGCCAGAAAGACAGAGACAGAGAGATAGAAAGAGAGAAATCACCCCCCAGGCGGGATGGCCATGCCCCAATCCCTTCTCCTCCATTCGCCTCTCAGGATCTTGGACATGCACGCACACGTGCCCGGCGTGAGTGTAAGCCACGGGGTCCAGGACTCCAACCGTGGTCAACTACATGGGAGCCCAGCGACATAGACATTATGCTAACTGCTGGTCCCAATATCCATGTTTTTTTTTTTTTTTGCTATAGGGCATGTCTGCTCGCCAGAAAGACAGAGACAGAGAGATAGAAAGAGAGAAATCACCCCCCAGGCGGGATGGCCATGCCCCAATCCCTTCTCCTCCATTCGCCTCTCAGGATCTTGGACATGCACGCACACGTGCCCGGCGTGAGTGTAAGCCACGGGGTCCAGGACTCCAACCGTGGTCAACTACATGGGAGCCCAGCGACATAGACATTATGCTAACTGCTGGTCCCGCAATATTCATATTCTTAAATTTGGGAGTTTTTAATGCCTGTTGAGCACATACAGGTTTTCATGAAAAAAAAAAAATTCTTGAATATTAAAAAACAGAAAGTAGGAAGCCTGACCATGACATACCGGTAAAATCCAACACTCTGGGAAGCTGACTCACATGGAAGGATTCCTAGTTCACGTCCAAAGACTTTTCTATGCTTTCTTCTAGTTTTACAGTTTT